AAAAGAAGAAGAGATTACATACCACGAGTCAATGTATGACCTGAAGAGTCACACGTACCTGGTGGGACTACAAAAGCACTTTGGGCATAGCCGATGTATACATAGAGTTATGTATGTAGGGCTAAGCAGGTGTTGTTACAGAGAATTGAAGTAAACTCGGTTCGTCCAGCAGTAGAGTGAACTTATATTGGACTGCTGGGAAACCTGTGTTCAAGATTACATACTTTTGGTGAATGTTTGCCACTGCTGTGAAAGTGGAGCAACGAACTACAACAACAATATGATGGTTGAGCCGAACAGAGTGTATATGGTGCTGTTCAGTTCTGTGGTCCAAATGAAGGTACACCACCCGTTCAACCCAAAGCAACCACAGAGTCCGAGGGTGCCAACGAGCATTGTGGTATTGCTCAACAAGGAATACAATTTATTAGCTGGAACATTAAAAGAAAACATATATGAACTAAAAAACTTACAAAAATAGAGTACAAAACTCATAGAAACAAATTGGAATAGAAACATTTCGTAAAAAATTGTTTTGTCAGAAAACATATCAATACGTCGTTCCGGCCTCGCACGCAACTGGCTACGTACAAAAAAATTTGTGCATAGCTTCCGCTATATTCCACAGAATGAATAGTCACTGCCCCTGTGATACTAGAAATTGTTGTTGTTGCCGTTTAGTTCATTTATTGCATATGTACTCTTTGAATTGGTTTGACCCAATCAAAAGCAGGCTTTATCCTTACTGTAGACCATGGTGCAATACCCTTCAATGTAGTCTAGAAACAGCGTCCTGTCTCATTTTAGACTGTGGTTCAACTGAACTAGCTGCAGCTAGCCAGAGGATCCAGGTATCACCCTACAGATTTAAAAGGATTTGAAGCTTGTTCAAAGGTTCATAGAAAATTATGAGCAATTTATGAAGCAGTGTCATAAACAGACAACAAAATGCATGCAGTATCTCATATACATGAACCAGCAAAAGAATGAACCAGTAACAAACCAGCGAAGAACGGGTCCGCAAATCCCAGTAACAACACGCCAGCGCAACTCCAGCGACCAAAGCCAGTGTGGCCAAGCAGCGAACCACCCAGCGACCAACCAGTGGTAAGCCGGAAATCCAGCGACCAAAAAAACCAGGTGAAAAAAAAAATCAAAAACCGGTGACAAACCAGTGACAACCCAGCAATAACCCAGCGATAAACCAGTGATAACCCAGCGACAAACCAGCGAAAGAATGCTAGTATGGCATGCAGTTTTCAAGTTTGTAACCGAGCAAAGCAGTTCCGTAATTGCTTTGTGAAACAAGAAACTGCTGGCAGTAACACCGAATAGAACAAATGCGAATGAATGAACCTGTTAAGAAAATAGAATGTGGTGTCCAAAAGAAATAAGAAACAAGGTACAATTTAGTACACAAATTCTCACAACAACACGTTACATACCTAATTAAAATATATACTACTAACTCAGGCCTCCTCACAATTCCCAACACAGGGGGAAATCCAAATCATGACCGGATGCCGCTTTGCACTCATTGCAAGAAACAAACGCAACAGCAGGGGATAATCTTACTCAGTCCTCGCAATTCCCAACACATGGCAAAAAATCCAAATCATAACCGTATGCCGCTTTGCACTCCTTGCAGAATAATCCACAGCAAGGAATAGCCTTATCGAAATCTAGTGGAACCGACAATGGGTCGAACGCATTTTCATTTAGCCACACATCATAGTTGCCGATCGGTGTATATTTACCAAATGCAGGAATGAAGGCAACAACAACGTGCTTAGCCCAAAGACGGTGGCGGGGCACAAACTGTGTGCAAGGCGCTTCGTAGAAATTGCGAATCGTCCACTGCTTCCCAAAGAAGACACGTTCCGCACTAATGTGCACCCACTTATTACTACCCCGGTGGTATTTCATCCAGGCTGTTGGATCGGTGGGGGGTGCATCATCAATTACGAAACCCACAAAGTCAATCGCATCCGTACCGTCATCAGCGGGGGTTAAAATCTCCGTCAAATAATAGTATGTTGGTGGCTCGTACTCTTCAACTTCAGAAGATCCAACAGAGCTATCATCATTGCTTCCTCCGTCATCTTTTTTCATGGGCATTGCAACCACGGCACTGGCTACAATCACGACGGGCGCTTCTTGTTTCAAAACGGTGTAGGAACTCTTGATTGCTTCCACCGTAACTCCAACCATAGCGTCGCTGCCACTTTTGTTGGTTTTAATATCGATTGCACATTTCGATGTCATTTGCATAATTTCCGTAACCGTACTTTCATCCATGGAAAACTCCTCATCTGACTCATTATCAATCGGTTCTGCCATCATTGTCTCATCCAACTCGTCTTCACCATCTGTCAAATCGGCTTCTTCGAATGGTTCGTCGATGTCATAAAGAGTTCGCATATCCTTGCGAGCACCAAAGTCATCAGCAGAATTTAAAAAATCAATTTGGGCTTTGTAGAAAGCACCAAGATGATTCTTACGGGTTTTGTACGTGCTACGGCTGATTCTTTTTTCATTTGCCGGTTGCAATGTCGCGCGTAGTTTGGTAGCATTACGCGCAGCGCGCAAACTTCGCTTGTCAGAGGTAACCTTAACATTGTCCATGCTGACATCAGTTGATTTGTTAGTTGCAATAATGGGATCAACTTTCATACTGCAACTGACACCATTGTCAGTTTCTCCATTACAACTCTTGGCTTTGGCCACATTACCTAGCAATAGAAGGCCCTCTGCAGCAGCTCCAGTCAATCCATCACCATTGCTCATTGCTTGCACTTGTGCAGCACCCACCTCGCCCTCATCATCATCATCTTCAATTTCAATGACTTCGATGAACTTCTCATTGTCATCCAATTCAAACTGGCTGTGGTAGTTTTTCTTCTTCAAGTTTGGTTGGCTCATGGTGTAGGGTTTTTTTGTTTGCTTTTTAGATTGATGCTGCCCGAATTGTGAGCTCTCTGGCCCTGCAGAAATGAACTGCCTCATTTCGAACTCTGTATCTGTGCTGTTTTGGGTAATCTTGCATTATTTTGCCGGGTTGCATTTGGTGACTGATACCAGTGGTTGCTGTGTTGCATTCTTCATTTCTAACCACTGACCATCCATCAAGATTAATCCCTTCCACAAGCTGCTCTTGAACTGCATGCTGGATCCTCTGTGGCAAAAATTCTGAATGAACAGATTCTGCGGGAGATCCCAAAGAAAGAAACACTAACCCTAAGGATAACCAACCAAACGACCACCACAAAAGACAGCCTCAGAGATCACCGGGGTCTGCCCGGTATATAAAATAAATTTCGAGCCCATTCAATTTCTCAATTTCCCCAAGAGCAACACACCATGATTGACCGCCTCCTCACCATTGGCGCCCTTGCGGTGTGCGCCTCTGCACAATCGACTCCAAACTGCAACACCGAACTCGCTAGACTTTGGCTGCTCGAACCAGTGTGAGCAAGGTCCTCTCGGAGAAGTTGGCCTGAGTGTTGCTAGTGGCTATGATGTCGCCGCTCTCTACTTTGGCCACCAGGCCTGAGGGACCTGCCAGCAGATCGTCCAAACCATGACGGACGTCTATGATGGTTTGAATGAGGAAGACAAAGGACGCGTCTTGGTGCTGGCAGTAGGGAAGCTCGAATATGAGGCGTTGGACTCCGAATTTTGCAAAGGGAGCTTTGGCATGTGCCACGATGCCGAGGAAGATCCCTGGTGGAATTCCTGGTCAGCTGAGCAGCGAGATGTGTTCTTCTTTTACCGTTCTAATGGTACTGAGTGGACTTATTTTTGCCAATATTCCATGAATGACTATCTAGATCAGTTTGAGTCCACCGTGGAAGATTTGATCAGGATGGCTTCGGGCGCTACCACAAGCACTGGAGCTACCGTCGATGGCGAATCTGGCGAAGATACGGGGTCTGGCGAAGATACCGAGTCAGAGGAACCGTCAGGCAGTTTGGCAATTGACGTTTCGTGGAAGGCATTTATTCTGTTTTTGTTTGGCATGGCACTGACGCGGTAAAGAGCCTATGATCCTACCTTGAGTGGACACTGAATGACATGCCACTTCCCGGTGTATTTTGTGCACTGGCAGGAGAGCATTGAAGAAGTGTTTCATCACAAGTTAGACTAGTTTGGTCTGTCCCGATAACCCACTGTGAAGACGACCAGCTGTGGAAGTTTGATGATTTATTGTTACTGTGGTGTGAGGGGTTGCTTTTGTTGCCATGGCTTGCTGGATCTGGCAGTATAATGACTTGGTTTCACTGTGATCCCAACTTGAGTGAACACTGAATGACATGCCATTTCTGTTCAATATATTCATTGTGTGGAAGAAAAGCATTGAAATGTGTTCCATTTGAACTTGGGTTTGGGTGGGGTGGAGGCAGTTGTGTTTTTGCCCTCAACTACCAGCTAGCAAGCTGAGGGCCTTTTGAACTTTATCTTGTGTGTGTAGGTGTGTGTACGTTGAGTGCTGTGTGAGATGTGTGATGTTGTGTGAGATGTGTGTAGACACTACTAAGAGTTAATCTACGACGAATCTACCATTGGATGTTTATCCATGGGGTATACCGTTGCTTGTGTGTGTGTGTGTGTGTGTAGGTGTGTGTACGTTGAGTGTTGTGTGAGATGTGTGATGTTGTGTGAGATGTGTGTAGACACTACTAAGAGTTAATCTACGACGAATCTACCATTGGATGTTTATCCATGGGGTATACCGTTGCTTGTGTGTGTGTAGGTGTGTGTACGTTGAGTGTTGTGTGAGATGTGTGATGTTGTGTGAGATGTGTGTAGACACTAACTAAGAGTTAATCTACGACGAATCTACCATTGGATGTTTATCCATGGGGTATACCGTTGCTTGTGGTGTGTGTGTGTGTGTGTGTGTGTGTGTGTGTGTGTGTGTGTGTGTGTGTGTGTGTGTGTGTGTCGCGTACATATGGTGCGGTGTCCCTTGCAAGGTTAAGGCTACGGGTACATATGGTATGGTTTCCCTGGCAAGGTTAAGGCTACCGGTCCAGAACCCTTCCTTGGCCTTTAGAAAAATGCAAGTTGATCGAGGGTGAAAGCGGTAGAAGGCAGTGATCTGATTGGCTAATCAACCTAGTTTCCGAAAACACATCAGCAACTAACTTAACGTACCGTTTATAAAGATTACAGGGAAACTGTGCTACCTAGTTGCCATTTTCGTGTTTCTGTTATCTCGAAAGAAGGATTCCGTTGATCGAAATCGCGACAATGACATGCTGCCGCTCACTCGACACTCCAAAAGTCCACCATTCCGCCATTATCTCTGCCAAAAAAGCAAGTAGCAGCAGCAGCAGCGCCATGGAGACACAAACAACAACAGCCAATGGAGAAGGGATGGGCTGCCAAAGTCAGAATAGGAGTTCCCAGCAGAAGAGAGCATATCAACTCGCCTCCAACAACAACAGAAGATCCAAGAGAGCCAGAGAAGAAGGGCCACAAACAACACTGGAAGGAGTGGTAGCAGAAGTCTTTGATCCACTCAAGAACTGTGTCATCTGTAAGGCCAGACATCTTGGTCTCAGAGTCCCCAAGAGATCACACTCTGTCTTCTGTATTAAGAATACAATAACAAAAGGACAAGGACCGTTGAATGCGCTGACCATGGAGACAATCAAAGAAAGCAGAAGACTCACCAGACAATTCAGTGCTCCTCTACCACTGAATGAGAGAGGAAGCTGGAGGCATTCCACAAGAGAAAATGGAGAAGCATTCTTTGCTGCTAGAACCAACACAGCCAAACCAAAGCAGAGCCGGCAACAGCAACAAAAGGCAGCAATGGCCACTCCAGTAGCTCTTTGTCAAAAGGTAACCACTCTTGTGAAGGATACTGCCTTTGTGGAAAAGCACAAGACCAAAGGAGCACCACTGGCAATGCTAGCAATGGCAGAAGCAGTGTCAGAATCCATTATCAGGCCAAGAAATCCACAACTCTTCAGGCAACACTTTAAGGACTACCATGACAGTGCCCTCCACAGAGGAGCAATTCAAATCTCCACACTATCACTCTATTGTTGGTCAGAAACTCTCCTTGTGGACTGGAATAGGTGTGGTATTACTGTTGGTTGTCCTGATGGCAGATGCTCTGGCGAACTCAAGAATGACAGAACTAACTGGTCAAAGAACAAAACTTTGTTTCCTCTATTTGGCATTACTGGAGCTCCTTCCTGGTGCATAGTCATGTCAATGAAATGTGAGTGCTGCCAGAGGAGGTTCGATGCCAACAGTGCTGAAGTCTTGTGACTATTCCACACATGCTGCTCTCTCTATAGTGAGTCAAGTATGCCTTCCCAACAAGGCATGCCACTTGGAGAGGACTGCGACTGAGACTTTCGAAACAATCATGTTGACTTATGGCAATGGAGAACTCTGCAGTCGGCTCATCTACAATGCAATCAAACAGAGAGTTCATTAGGGCCATGATGTCATACTTCTCTTATTGGGAGGGAAGTGACACTGAACCAGACCCCTTTCTTCAAAGGATGGCACTTACATTAGACAGTATCCTCCCCTTGGTGACACCATCCGGGACTTCTATGATGGGGCTTGTACTTCAAACAGGAATCCGTGGAGACTCAGTGACAACCAAAGGCACACAAGAGAGATCCAAAGTGTCAGTTGCAACAAGGGAATCTTCTGCCAAGATCATACCTTCAGGTCAAGAACTACAGCAAGAGAGGTGCTGGTGCTGTTTGGGATGCTGCCACAGAGACGGTGAGATTCCTCTGCTGTTCTTGTTCCAACCACCAAGACTATCCACTTCTCCATGCTGCCATGCAGCTAGCAAGGAGGAGAACTTCAATCAGCTGCCATGTACAGGACACCTGGCCCCACAAGGATGACTACTGGGAGGTTCTCTTTCCAGGAATGAGGGAAGGCTAGGCCTGTTTCATTATGAGAAGAGAATCTATCAACTTTGAGAAAGGGACACATTGATCACTATCAAGCAATGTCAGACCTCTTGGATTGCTTGTATGTACTCACCTGATGACTATGAGAAGCTGCTTGCATGCCCTGAAACATGGTCTACTATCCACCAATGGCAAGTGTTACTCTATGGCTGAGATCTCCGACATGCAAGCCTCCAAGGTATTCAGAGATCGGTACTCAAAGTATCTAAGGAAGCAGATGCGGTCACCGGAAACAATGAGACAGAGGTTGCAGCAGTGGTTCTACAGGTACAAGGTGACAGCCAGTGATGGTAGCCAACCAGGCCAAGGCCGACTGGATCCAGTCAAGAACTTTACCTTGTTCACTTCAGATACCAAGCCAGCAGTAGAGAACTGTGTTGACAAAGCCATTCACTTGGCTGATCCACTCGCGCTGGAAGATATGTATGACACCATCCTGCCATCACCCAATCCAAGCACAAGCTTCCAGGTACCTATCAAGGGAGGAGAGTCAAAGTTAGAGGCTTTCCATGACAAGTTTGCCACTTTGAATTGGAATGAGGACTCTTGCTGATGCACTCAAACCTGGCTGGACGCCAGATACAACCTCAACATTCGACACAAAAGAGCCTTCCTGTCAAGAATCAGTCTGGCAGAGAGAGGTCAATTCCAGCTGGTGGGAAAAGGTTGTTCCTTTGGAATCATTCAGAGCTGGCTTACCTGAATGACCTAGCAGTGGCTGTGGTTCAATGAACCATTTCCTAATGCAGAGCCATGCCACAGGATAATGGAGGAGGTTCTTTCAGAGTTTATTGTTGGATTCAAACCACATCGGCAGAAGTATGCACAAATGATTGTGCTTGTGTGCATTGTGCACTGGTCCATCAACTTCACCACCTCCACTGGAAGAACAACCTCCACTGGAAGAACAACCTCCTCCCACTGAAGAACAACCTCCTCCCACTGAAGAACCACAACTTCCTCCTGCCGAACAACTACCTCCTCCCACGGAACCTCCACAACCAACAGGAACAACAAATCAATCTCCTGTGGCACAAACAACAAACACTTATATGACTAACCTGCTTCAGTTTCAACAACAACAGATTCAAATGATGCAACTCACCATACAAATGCAGCAGCACGTCCAACCAATACTGCCGTCTCCTTTCCTCCAGCAACGTCCAATGAATGGCTGCTGTCACAGATACTGCCAGTGGTTGGCTCACAGGAGAGGAAGGCCACCGCATGATGCCTATTGCCGATCTAGATTGAGTGGAAAGGCTGGATAATCTGTAAATTGGTGGCAACAAACAGTCTAGATTTAGATCCGTGGGCTAATTCAGTCCTAATTTAGCCAGAAACTTACATAACAATTCCACAATGTACAGCATGGTGTGGTTGCAAGAATCAAGGTTGTCAAGGTCTTCAATGCAATCATCAACAAAACTTTTACTCATCGAAGCCAATACCTGGAAGGAAAACTTGTTGTTGTAGTCATACAGTGGCAAAAATACCCATGCAAGCATCCATCACAATCTGTCCTTCATTCGAGTAGAAGTCATAGCTGCTATCCATAATCATTTCCCTCACAAACCAATAGATGCACTCAATGAAGATGTCCTTCCTTTCACATCGTTCTGGCCCCTCCAGCATTTCAGAAAGGGTGGAGAGAACATGGCTGTACCATTCTGGATGTTGCTGAAGTCCGAATTCAAACATGTAGTCCATATGCTGTCATATCAGGAGGAAGAGGTTGCATCCTCCTGGTAATCAACTCCTGAAGGTTCGCCACTGCTATTTCATTCGTGCCCAAACAATGAAACTTCTTGTTGTGGTGGTGGTGCGGCTCCTTCTCTTCCACAATCACATATTTGCAAGTGAACCCATGCCTTGTTGCCCTCAGCTCATTGAATGGGTATGATGATGCATTAGCAACACGCAGCAGCCACTGTGAGAAGGAAGAAGAAGTGGCAATCCTCATTGTCGACAATTTGCTTGTTGTTTCCGACGACGATTTTCGTTTCGATCGATGAGTTCGCGCTTGTCACCGTGTTGTTGTCGAAAAAGTGATTTGAATGGGAAGGTCTGGTGCAAGCAAAGGATCGGGAAAGAGCAATTAAGCCAGCTATTCGTTAGATTAGCATTTGAAATTTCCGTGATGCGTTTTAGTGACGTAAATGTGTTCTTCGGACGTCTTACCCTATGGGGGAGATGGCCGGTCATTGCCTTCACCCCATCTTTCTATAAGTATTTCAATCCATCAATCGTGTCAGTTATGACTTTTCTGGCAACCGACAGGCCCTGCAGGCTCTCAACGGCGGAATTGGGAATCCAACTGATAACCCTCTCCCTTTCTTTTTTCTTTTCCCGCCCCCGCGCTGGTGCTTGACCCCCCCTAAATCTCAGTTGAGGGCACTAGCCCCCGGCAGGCTGTCCTTTTGGCATAATGGATACAGGATTGTGTCACGGGATCGGGGCACTGGGCCGACAGTCTTCAGCTTTAAAAACTTAATTTGGCGGGACACGGAATGACATGCCATTTCTGTACAGTGGCTTCATTCACTGGAAGACAAAAGCATTGAAATTGTGTTCCCATGGAACTTGGGATCCTGAGGGTGGGTGCCTGGTACATACTATCAAGGCCAGCTATGTAATAAGAAAGATGGGCACAAGTCAGAATATACAAGTGCCCATTTTTAAAAAAAGCAATAGTGCATGTCCATTGGTCCCAAGGACATCCATTTTCACGGCATTCATGAGAATGGCCAAGTGCCCATTTTTGGCAGCTACTAGCATGTGTGTTTATGCAATGGCCAATTGGTAGAAATGCCAAAATTAGGTTGATCCAAATACTAGTATCCTCTTGACCAAAGAACACTGCTACCGTGTCATTGTCAGCGCTATCGTACTGTTTGAAGCGACCTAAGACAGCTCCTCGGACAGCTTTCGTTGTGTGGATTTTAGCTACATGTATGCATCCCATTTTGACTCTTGTGAAGACGTGCAGACATCTGTGGGATGGGTGTCTGTTACCAGAAAGAGGGCGATGTCATCCATGGTCAATGCGTAGTTCGACAGTTTACCGGTACAGGCAGCTTCGGTTTTAAAGATTCAAACGCGTGCCAGGTTTTCTCGTACACTTCTACGAGTGCTCGAGTAGAAGTGTACCATGGAGGTCGGCACGCGTTTGCATCAATACAATCGAAGCTGCTCGTACTGTACGGGCATAGGCAGGTACCGGTATGGTAGAGGACGCTCCCCAATTGCCAACTTTCAAGGCTACCTTTACCACCGTAGTGCTGCGCATGGTTTTCAGACACTACGAGACATGTACTGGTACTGTACCATGGTACCAACTCTGATCTCGGTCACTCGGTCTTTCCAAAGAAACCAGAACGGAAGTCAGTCACAGATGCTTGCGGAACGATCCTTCTTTGACAGCGGTTTCTTTGCAGTCACAACACCGGACATCCTGCTTTGTCTTGGTTGACTTGTGAACCGTTCTTCCCAGCAACCTCATCACAACTGGAAAGAAATCAACAACAACAATAGACATTAACAACAACTAACCAAAGTACATCATGCAAGGACTGAGCTATTGCGATATCAACCACCGCTTGCAGATTCGCCTGTGCTCGGCGATACCTGGGTGCACTCTTTCGGACGCCAAGAGATGTTTGTTGTGGAAGGACGGCTTCGCGTCGGCCCAAACGGTCAAATTGTCCATCTCTCATGACTACTTTGCGTTGGGTCGCTTGGCGGACGAGTTGGAAAGCTTTGTGTCTGCCATGGCCAATGCCATGCCGAAATTGAGTGAGATCCATGTGCAGCTGCTTCAGCATGGATTTTCCTTTGCTGCCGGTCATCATGCGCACAAGGCAGTCGTTCCCGTGGAATTGTTGGAATTCTTGCTGCAGAAATTTCCAAGACTGGAGCGCATCAAGTTTTGTGATCTCCATATTATGACTGTGGGCCCAGGTCGAGAACAGCAACAGCAGCAGCAACAACAACGAGATTCTCTACAGAAACTGGCCATCGCCTTGGAATGCCAATCATTGCTGGAACACCTCGAACTTCGTCATTGCTCCTTTTTCCCGGTCTCTTCCTCCCGGGTGGATCCCCTGCTTACATCACTCTCCATTGGTGTACCCACACTGGAAAAGCTGATTCTTCAATTTCCTTTCCAAAATGGTGTCAGCGTTAGTACTACAGCCGTCAACGCCTTGACGGAAGGCTGTACTCGCCTGAGAGAATTGCACTTTAAGGGTCTTCACACCATTCCAACTTGCAGCAAGGCAACCCCGCCATCCATGCTTTGGAACGGATGTGCATCGCTGGAACGTTTGGCATTGCATCTACCACCCTTGACGTCACCCGCAATGTCCGAGGCCATGGGGACAGAACTAGCGAGCTTGGTGCACAAGGCACCAAAGTTGGTTGCCTTGACCGTCAATCTGCATTTACTACAAGCACAAGGGCAACAATCCACCAAATGTCACTCCCTCCAGTCCTTTCAAAGCGCATTGGCGTCGGCTCTTCGACCTACCAAACTGCAAGAGTTGTACATTTTGTGTCACGACGAAATAGCAATTACGCGAGGAGGACAATCACAACAACTGCCTACACTGCCAGTCTTTTGCAGAGTCTTGCAAGACACACCCACCCTCACGCGTCTTTGCCTACCGCACTGTGGCGAACTCGACGAGTGCGTGGCCTTTTGGCTCGCCGTCAATCAAAGCGGTATTCGACAATTCTTCTTACCGTTGGACGACAACGACGGCAACAGCCAAAACCGAAACAGCGTCGCGAGGTTGGGGGAACTGGGAGAATTTGTATCCAGCAAGGACGATCGGACGCAGCTGTCCATGATCTACTACGTCCTGCGGGAAGGATGTCCCTTGTTTCTTGCATAAATTAGATAACTCATAATGAAGTAGATAGAATAGTCACGTGATTACAACTGGCTAGTAGCTAGCTAGCTAGCTAGCAGTTTGCAATACATGCAGGCGAGACCAGAACTTCACGCTATGATGTAGAAATAAAGGGCAGGGGGGTTGATAACACAGAGAAGGACGGTAACTTTGTTTTCAGGGACAGTCTCTCTCAATACCACTGCATCATCCATAAAAATACGTAGGGTTTTGCTGTGTATGTGGCTTCCACGAAAGGAAAGGCTGGATTCTGATGGTCAGACAAGACGTTGCTACTGTACCGGGTTTATCCATTGCCGAAGGTAGTCAAGACAAGAGAGAGAGGGCCGGGATACATGGAAGCCACAAGGAGGAGGGAGGAGGAAGCAGAACCATAAACATGAAGTCTTGCCTTTGTTAGGGTGCTTTGAAAACCTGAGGATCGTTTTGGTTATTTGGAGTATTGGTCAGGTCAATGTCGGGTTCTTGTGCACCAACCACCACCGGTATGTCTGGTTCCTCCTGGCCAGCCCCGACTGCAGTGGGTTTTCCAAGTTCAATATCTGGCTCAGTCGTGTCGTTTTCTGGAGTGACACCAAATGGCTTGATTTCGGTTGGCACAGGATGATTGCTGCTGTTGAAATTGACTTTGTCCTTGGCCCACCAGCAAAATCCAACAAAAAGCACAAATCCCATGGCAACAAGTGGCCAAGCAATGTGAGGTCTGTACCACAACCACCCCAAAGAGATGACAAAGAGTGCCAAAGGCACGGAAATCATACAGGCCACTATAAGAAGCATGCAATGTGATCTATATGATTCTGACAAGCAGTTGTCAATGCAGGGAATAATGTCGGCTGCCATTGATAGTTGGTCCAGTATCACACAAGTCGCACAAAACAGTACTGTGATTCCAATGGCCCTGAGGATCCAGGCATCGACAGTATTTTCATCGCGAGCATTCTGGAGCATGGTTGCCGCATCTTTACTCCCGTGTTCCACCTCAATGAATGGTCGATCCCCTTCCGTAGTGTATACGCCAAGCCTGGACACATCGTAAAAAGCAATGATACTTGTTTTGGAGGGATAGATAACCTTGAAGCCGATGGTGGTGTCTCCAACCTTGGGTCTTGTTTTAGTGCTCCTAGATGTGGTAACGGTGTAATGATAGTAGAAGGATTGTCCCGAATCGCTGACTTCCAGATGTTCTTTCTTCTGAGCACTCATTTCATCTGTGATCACAGTTTTAAGCTGACAGGGTAACTCCACTGGACAAACCAGTCAATCTCATTCACTGCCTACAATAGGAACTAACGGGAAAATGGGACATATCTGTTAGAACGACAAAACTGAAGGCGGGGGAAGTCAGTATTGGTGCACACGCACAGGCTCTCCCAATGCAATGGTATCATCCATCAAGATGGGATGGGCTGTGTAGGTGGCTTCTCTAAACGAAAGTCTGGATTGTCATGTCCAGACTCCTGGAAATACGAAGAATCGTAGTACTCATCAGACCACACTTTTTTATAGGTGTAGTAGGTATCCGTGTTGCCCTTGTCGTCGGTTTCAGAGTGTTCCTCTTCTTGCCATTGGTACATTTTCACCTCTCATCATCTGCAACCTTCCCGTTGATTCCAAAGAGAGGATCTTGGATGACCATGTTGGTACTGCTGTTCCCAGTGATGTGAACCACCTTGTTGGCATACTGCGACAAGGCAAACCTTGTATCTTCCGCAGTGATAGTACTATTTCCAGCCTCAATTATGTCACTCAGCTTCAAGGACACATATCGTCCCTCAACCTCATCAATGTCATTTGCTCTCTTCACAGCACGTCCATCATTCCAGAACATCCCCGCAATCTTCCAAAGAACAACCACCAACCGATCGTCAAACTAACACAGGCATTCTTAATCAGTCCACTTCCACTGCCACTGAAGTCGTCTGACATGGTCTCCTACCACAATCAAATTGATTTGTTCTACCGGTACTAATAGCTAGCCAAAGGAATAGCAAGACGATCTTTTTTACACCTGCCTTCTCGAGTGTTGCCAGAACAGTGTTGCAAAGTTGCAAAGGAAAGATGTGAAACCCATACGGGTACTTCATGCGGGACGATTGCGCGAACAGGTGTCACGTTCGATTAATAACCTCAAACTTAACCTTAAGTAGAGCACGTGCAGTGAAACGTGCAAAAGATATTCCAGGAGTACCGGGTACTTAACAGCAACAGTAAGGATCCACTCTACTCGAACGCTTTCGACAAATTTCTCATTAAAAAATGCAAATTATGGTGTTTTTTATAAATAGTAGATAAAGTACACTCCTCCCTTGATACTAAGAAAGGTAGAGAAGCCGTGAGATGACTGAGAGTGTTGGAATGCTGAGATGACTACTGGAGACACTCAGTTCCACACTAGAGCTAAGATGCTCAGCAAGTACTCTCCCGGGCACATAAGAGATTGAGAAATGATTCAATGACGCATTCTACAACAAAATGCCTTAATACAGGCATCAAATGCAAAATTATAAACTGCTCTTTCCTCGTCACATTTGGTATGTTAAGTAAGGTGGGAAGCAGAGTAGAAATGTTCCATAGCCCTGCCTTCCTAATCAGAGTATTTTAAAAGATACTACAGTACCCTGGTGATGGATACCGGGCTAAGATATAAATTCAGTAGGAATACTTGTGATGCACTACGCTAAAAGCTAGTGTAAAGATCTTTCGAGTGTTTTGAGTTTGAGAGAATGAAAGTTATGAGAGAGATTAGAAAGCTATGAAAACTAATCAACGAGAGAGATCATCATCAAGGGATCGTAGATCTGGCCTAGTATGACTAGCGCGGTCATTGAGAACCCTGTCTCAAATGACTATTCACGAGAGACTCAGTCATGAGTCGAACTCAAACCCTATCTAGGATCGAGTCGCGAATAAGGCTAAGAGCCGTGTATTGCATTCGCCCCCTGACAAGGGTCACAGAAGGCGCGACAGCAGTCGGACAAGGAGAACTTATGATTTAAAGTGCGGGGCACTCTCATGAGATTTGGATGTAGACATGTGCGTCGCACGATGGCAATCCTACAAGGGG